ATAAATGTTCATAGAACTATTCATAGTAGCCAAAATGTAGAAACAATCCAAATTTCTGTCAATGAATAAATGAATAAACAAAATATGACATAATCATACAATGGTATATGATTCAGCCATAAAAAGGAATGATACTCCCCCTGTTTGTGTTCCCTCTCTCACTGTGTCTCTCTCTGTCAAATAAATAAGTAAAATCTTTAAAAAAATAAAAAAGAAGAAGAGGAGAATACAACTGGAATAACTATACATCTTAGTTCTCTTTAAGAAGTCCATAGGGAAACCCAGAAGCAAAAGGTAAGGCAAAAACATGGACACCAGACCAAACTTTAGCTTCTGATACCTACAGCTATAGCAAAAAATAAATACCCAATTTCTACCTACAAAAACATAAAACCCCACACTATTTACCTAAAGGCCTATTTACCTCAGTTCCTTTTATCTACTATGTCTGGTTTTCTTTCTTTCTTTCTTTTTTAAGATTTTATTTATTTATTTGAGAGAGAGCACGAGGGGGGGGCAGAGGGAGAGAGAAAAGCAGACTCCCCACCGAGCAGGGAGCCCAAAGCAGGGTTCAATCCCAGGACTCTAGGATCATTACTTGAGCAGAAGTCAGACACTCAACCAAAAGAGCCACTGAGGCGCCCCTTGTCTGGTTTTCAAAAACAACATACAACAACAAAATAAAACAAAACAAGGCATATTAAAAGACAAAAAACAGGGGTGCCTGGATGGCTCAGTCGGTAATGCAAGCAGCTCTTGATCTCAGGGTCATGAGTTTGAACCCCACATTTGGTGTAGATTACTAAAAAAAATCAAAATAAAAAAAATGTTTAGAGACAGAGCCATAGTCAGAACCAAACTCAGATATAGCAAAGATGTTGGAATTATCAGACCAGGAATTTAAAACAACTGTGGTTAATATGCTAAAGGCTCTAATGGGAAAAGTAAAAAACATGAAAGAACAGATTTGTAATGTAAGCAGAGAGATGGAAACTTTAAGAAATAATGAAAAGGAAATAGCAAAAATAAAAAACACTATAACAAATGAAGAATACTTTGAAGGGCTCATCAATAGACTGTGCAATGCCAAAGAACCAGTGAGCCTGAAGAAATGTCATCAATAGAAACTTAGCAAACTGAAATGCAAGGAGAAAAAAAAGAATGAAAAGGAGAGAAAAGAATATCTAAGAACTGTGAGACAAAAAAACAAAGTATAATTGATATGCTAAGGGAGGGGAATGAAATCAGATAAAATGCTCAATTAAAACCAGAGAAGGCAGAAAAAAAGTGGAAGACAAAAATAGAAACAAACAAGAGCAATGAATAGGAAACAGTAACAAATATTGTAGCTATTACTGAACTATATCAATAATCACCTTATTTTTATAAGTTTTATTTATTTAAGTAATCTCTGCACCCAACATGGGGCTCAAACTCATGACCCTGAGATCAAGAGTTGCATGCTCCTCTGACTGAGCTGTTCAGATGCCCCTCAATAATCACTTTAAACATAAATGGTCTAAATATAACAATTAAAAGACAGAGACTGTTAGAGTGAATTAAAAACAAAGAAAACACCCAACACCCAACTTTAAGTTCTCTGCAAGAAACCCTCTTTAAATGTAAAGACACAGATTAAAAGTAAAGGGATGAAGAAAGATATACCATGCTAACACTCATCTAAGATAGCAACTGATAGAACTGTGAAGAGAGAAGATCTAAATGAATGACATATTCCATGTACATGGACAGGATGACTCAATATTGTCATGATGTCAGTTCTTCCTAACTTAAATGATAGATTCAGTGTAATCCCAATCAAATCTCAGTTATTTTGTAGACAACAACAAATTGATTCTAAAGTTTATGCCCCTCCATATGGCACCTGGGTGGCTCAGTTGGTTGAACATCTGCTTTCGGCTCAGGTCATGATCCCAGGGTTGGGGATCGAGCCCCGCATTGGGCTCCCTCTTTGGTGGGCAGCTCCCCCTGCTTGTGCACTCTCACTCTGTGCCAAATCAATAAATAAAATCTTTTAAAAAATTAATAAATAAAGTTTATATGGAGAGGCAACAGACCCAGTATAGCTAACTCAATATTGGAGAAGAACAACAGAGGACTGACACTGCCTGACTTCTAGACTTACTGTAAATCTATAAAAAGCAAGACATGTGGTATTGGCCAAAGAATACATAAAGAGATCAGTGGAACAGAATGGAGAGCCCAGAAATAGACACATATATAATCAACTGATTTTTAACAAAGGAAAAAAGCAATCAATGAAGGATGGATAGTCTTTTAAACAAATGGTGCTAAGCAACTGGACAACCACATGCAAAAAAAAAAAAAAGAGAGAGAGAGAGAGAGAAAGAAAAAATCTAGACACATCTTACACATTTCACAAAAAAGAACCCCAATGGTTTGTAGATCTAAATATAAAATGAGACTATTAAACTTCTTTTTTTTTAAAGATTTTATTTATTTATTTGACAGAGAGAGATAGCAAGAGAGGCAACACAAGCAGGGGGAGTGGGAGAGGGAGAAGCAGGCTTCCCGCCGAGCAGGAAGCCCGATGCGGGGCTCGATCCCAGGATCCTGGGATCATGACCTGAGCCGAAGGCAGACGCTTAAAGACTGAGCCATCCAGGTGCCCCTAAACTTTTTTTTCAAGTTTTATTTAATCTCTGCACCCAACGTCGGGCTCAAACTCATGACCCCAAGATCATGCTCTACTGACTGAGCCAGCCAAGTACCCTGAGACTATTAAACTTCTAAAAGATAATGTAGGAGAAAATCTAAGCGACCTTGGATTTGGTGATGACTTTTTGGACAAGAGTATGATCCATAAAAGAAAATAAAAGTAATTCTACTGCATTACATTAAAAACTTAAAAAAGAAAAGATTTTATTTATTTATTTATTTGATAGAGCAAGAGAGCACAAGCAAGGGGAGCAATAGAAGGAGAGGGAGAGGCAGGCTCCCCACCAAGCAGGGAGCCCAATGTGGGGTTCGATCCCAGGATCCTGGGATCATGACCTGAGCCAAAGGTAGATGCTTAACCATCTGAGCCACCCAGGCACCCCTACATTAAAAACTTCTTTTTGGTGGGGCACCTGGGTGGCTCAGCCAGTTAAGCCTCCAACTCTTGGTTTCAGCTCAGCAGCCCAGGTCGTGACCTTGGGTCTTGGAATCAAGCCCCATGTGGGGCTCTGCACTCAATGCAGAGTCTGTTTCAGATTCTCCCTCTCTCTCCCACTCTCTCTCTAATATATAAAATCTTTAAAAAATAAAAACTTCTTTTTGTGAAAGACACTGTTAAGAGATAAAAATCACAAACTTGGAGAAAATCTTTGGAAAACACATATCTGATAAAGGACTGGTATCTCCTAAAACTCAACAATAAGAAAACCTCAATTTTAAAAAATGGGACAAAAATCTAAATAGACACCTCACCGAAGAAGATATACAGATGGCAAATAACCATCTCAATAGATGCTTCACATCATATGTCATTAGGGAAATGCAAATTAAAACAATGAGATACCACTACATACCTATTAGAATAGCTAAATTGCTGAACAGTGACAACATCAATTGCTGGTGAGGATGTGAAACCCTGGGAACTCTTTTGTTTCTGGTGGGAATGCAAAATAGCACAACCACTTTGGAAAACAGTTTGGCAGTTTCTTACAAAACTAAACATTCTCTGACTCTATGATCCAGCAATTGCATTCCTTGGTGTTTACTCAGATGAACTGAAGACTTACGTCCACACAAAACCCTGCGTAAGGATGTTCATAGAAGCTTTATTCATAATTGACAAAACTTAGAAGCAAACAAGATTTCCGTCAATAGGTCAATGGATAAACAAGCTGGTATATCCAGACAATAGAATATTATTAACCAATAATAAGATATAAAGTATCATGCCTTGAAAATCCATGGAGGAACACTAAATGCATTTTGCTAAGTGAGAGGGGCCAACCTAAACAGGCTTTAAACTCCATGAGTTTAACTATAATTCATTCTGGAAAAGGCAAAACTTGTGGAGACAGTAAAAAGATCAGTGGTTGCTAGAGTTGTGGGGCACCGGCAGTGGGGATGATGAACAGATGTAGCACAGGGCATTTTTAGGGGAGGCAAATTTTTAGTGTGATATTCTAATGGTTGGTCCATATATTTTCCAAAACCCACAGAATCTACAAGAGTAAACCTTCATGTATACTGTGGACTTTAGTTAAAAAACGCCGTGTCAGTATTGGCTCAGTAATTTTAACAGAGATACCATACTAACACAAAATATCAACAGCACCCGGAAACTTGGTGGAGCGAGTGGTTAGGAGGTGACGTATGGGTAACTGCACTTCTTGATCCTTCTTTTCTGTAAACCTGAAAGTACTCTTAAAAAAATAAAGTCTATTAATTTACAAAGAAAAAGCTACTATTCAGCAAAGGCATCATTAATTGAGTAAAGAGGGAAATGGGAGCCGAAGTTTGGTGTTCCCGCAGCAAAGAGCTCACACCCCAAATGCAGAGAGAGCGTCGACCCGTCCCTGCACGAGGGCTGAGCGGGAGGCTAGCATCCGGAGCGCGCGAGTCTCAGCACCTGGCGGGTGATGTCCGTGACGTCAGCTGCAGCGGAGCTTCACACGCGCGGCCGGACGGGCGGAGGCCTGAGGCGCAGAAGCGCCCCCGCCCAGCCCGGCGACCATAGAGAGGACGGGCCTCCGGATTCCTAGACGGGCGCCGGAAGTAGCCTGGCGACGGGGCGGAGAGCCCTGAGCCGCGCGCCGCCTGCGCTCGGGGTTAGCCGGAGCGGTGGCCCCCAGGCTTTCCCTTCCCCGCGGCGGCCCCGCCGCTCCGGTTGCTCGCACGCGCGCCGGCTGCAGCACCCCGGCCCTGTGGCCCAGCCGGCAGAGGGAGGGCGGGAGCGCGGGCCGCTGAGGCGGTGTCCCGGCTCCCCCGCACGTGAGCGCGAGGGCGGTGACGCGCCTCCGTGACGCTTTGTCCCTCGTTTCGTATTTCGACAGTGAGACACACCAGAGCGGGGTTCTTCCGTGTCACCCCGCGGGGACTGCCCGCACCGACAGGTGCCCAGTGCTCTGCTCCCCGGGCGAACCCTGTAGCCACTTCGGGGGGCTTTCGTGTCTCCGCCCCCTGACGAGTGACAGGAGTCTCCTAAAGGTCCCAGAGCTTTTCCGGGGACACTGCGGACACTCCGCGCCCCGCTACGTCGTGGGCGTTCGAGAGTGGGACGACAGCCCTTCCCTCGCGAGGGGCCTGGGGCGGCCCGACACCCGTCCCGTGGGGCCTGGCAGCCCAGGAGCCAATGGGCGCCCTGGCGCGTGGCTCACGTGCTCTGCTCTTCGTTCTACGTTTGTACCGTGTCTTTCTGAGACTGTGGCCTTCTTCCCACACGATAGCAGTTCTAACACTGCGGTTTATGTCGCTTTTTGGTTTTTGTGTATCAGCAGTCAGGCCCACGTTCTCAGTGACTCACATCTCCGTGCCGGGGATGTTAGCGGGTTGTTCGTACACTGCTCGGGAGTGTTCTCACCCTGCTGGTGAGTCGGCCCGAAGTCGTGCAGCTCCTGACTGCCCTGGTTACCTTGCGGTGTTAGGAGCGGGTGCTCCTCCCACAGGACTACCCCGATCCTGAGTTTCTTCCTGACTCCTGGGATGTAAGACAAGTGACTCCGGTCCTGAGCGATTGTCGTGCAAGATGTCCACCGAGCTGAGAGAAGGCGCAGCCTCGACTCCTGTGCTCCACACTGCAGAGGAACAGGAGGGGCTGAGTGCAGTGAAGGTGCACGACGAGGAGGGCCATTCTTGGGAGCAGAAGCCTAGGCAGCTAGGCAAGGTGCACCTTCATCAGGAGCTTTTCCATCAACGCTTCAGACACTTCTGTTACCAGGAGGTCCCAGGACCAGAGAGGCCCCGAGCCGGCTCCGGGAGCTCTGCCGTCAGTGGCTGCGGCCGGAGACGCACAGCAAGGAGCAGATCGTGGAGCTGCTGGTGCTGGAGCAGTTCCTGACCATCCTGCCCGAGGAGCTGCAGGCCCGGGTGCGAGGATGTCGTCCGGGGAGCGGGGAGGAGGCGGTGACTGGGCTGGAGGACCTGGAGACAGAACTCGGAGGTAAAAGACAACAGGTGGAAAAAGGTTAATCCATTGTTCATTTATTAGCGCACCAAGGGTCTACCAGCAAAGAGTGGGCATATGTAAGCAAGGGGATTTTTTTTAAAGATTATATTTATTTGTGAGAGAGAGCACAAGACGGGGGAGGGTCAGAGGGAGAAGCCGACTCCCCCTGAGCGAGCAGCCCGATGTGGGGCTCAATCCCAGGACCCTGGGATCATGACCTTAACCGACTGAGCCACCCAGGCACCCTCTTTTTGTTTTTCTTTAAAGCTGTGCTACTTATTTATTTTGTGAATCGATTAAGACACTGGTTTCTTTATTCTGTTCCCTGTATCCATAGAAATTTTTTTTAATCAAATTTTGAGGTTTTAGCTATTGCCTGATATCTCTGATCCTTTTATAAACCCAGCTCTATTTGTACATCCTTAGGTTCAAGCCAGTGCACGCTACAGACAAGAAGTGCTATGGAAGGGAGCAGGACTCGTAAGCCTTGCAGAGTGGCTGCTGACTCTCCAGCCAAAGTGCAATCCTTGGGAGTACAGTCCTGTGCAAGAGAATGGTAAGCCTTAAAATGTGAATCTTCTGATTTTTTTTTTTTTTTGAAAGCACTGCATATATAGCATCTGCTAGGAAGGAGTATTTCTGGTGAGAAAAATGATGTCTGGGGATTGAATAAATTTAACACCAAAAGGTTGTTTAGAAGTGAGCATATCCAGAGCAGATTTAATTTTTTTTTTAAGATTCATTTATTTATTTTAGGGGCTCCTGGGTGGCTCAGTTGGTTGAGTGTCTGCCTTGGGCTCAGGTCATGATCCCAGGGTCCTGGGTTCGAACCCCACACCGGGCTCCCTGCTCTGTGGAGAGCCTGCTTTTCCCTCTCCCTCCGCGTGCCACTTCCCCAGCTTGTGTTCTCTCTCTCCCTCTTTCTCTCTGTCAAATAAGTAAATAAAATCTTTAAAGAAAAAAGGTTTATTTATTTTAGAGCAGGGGAGGGGGAAGGCGCGAAGGGAGAGGGAGAGAGAATCTCAAGCAGACTCTGCACTGAGCACAGAACCCCACTCGGGGCTCCATGTCTCGACCCTGAGGTATAAACCTGAACTGAAACCAAGAGTCAGAGGCTTAACCAACTGAGCCACCCAGGCACCCCAGAGCTGATTTAATTTTGAATTGGGATATGTGGTTGGTTTTTTATTGGTTTTTACTGGTTATGATAGTGGTCTTCAATTCTAACTGTGAATCCAAAATCACCAAGGAGCTGTTTAAAAATATAGATGCCCAGGGTGCCTGGGTGGCTCTGTTGGTTAAGCGACTGCCTTCGGCTCAGGTCATGATCCTGGAGTCTCGGGATCGAGTCCCACATCGGGCTCCCTGCTCTGTGGGGAGTCTGCTTCTCCCTCTGACCCTCTTCCCTCTCGTGCTCTCTGTCTCTCATTCTCTCTCTCTCAAATAAATAAATAAAATCTTTAAAATATATATATATAGATATAGATGCCCAGGGGCACCTGGGTGGCTCAGTCAATTAAGCATCTGACTTTGGCTGAAGTCATGATCCCAGAGTCCTGGGATTGAGCCTCACGTCGGTCTCCCTGCCCAGTGGGGAGCCTGCTTCTCCCTCTCCCTCTGCTACTCCCCCTGCTTGTGATCTGTCAAATAAAAAAATAAAATCTTAAAAAATATATATATATATTCTCATTATTCTCATTCGCTCCTCCTGTGTGTGTATATATATATATAGATAGATAGATAGATGCCCAGATCTACCACAGATTTACTATAATGGGTCCTAGTATTATATTTTTTAATTAGTTATTAAAAGTGCTATTATAGAACAATAGTAGTGGTTTATATGTTTAAAATTGTAGTAGGTAGAGAAGGACATAAAATGAAAATAAAAGTTCCATTCCCATGAGTTAACCACTGTTAACATTCTCTAATATATATTCTAAAATCATTCCATGTGTTTTTCAAGCCCCTGTCCCTCTTTTAGGTCAAGTAGTGTTATACTGTATTGACTCTTCTTATTTTCTATATTCTTGATGCCCTGGCATTTGGGGCCTTGATCCTGGTGAGACTGCCCCTCCCAGGGCTAGCTGTTTCCTAGAGACAGCAGAGAACCCCTCCTGCAAGCACCCCTTTCATATACAAACCAAACAATCCAGAGCCCACTCCCTAGCCATCTCCTTTATCAAACGCTCACACGCCAAGCCCCTATTTCCCCTGCTGTAAATCACCCCAGGGCCAGGTATTGGACCATTAGAGAACATCCCTACAGCCCAGAGCCGGCCAAAATTATTCAAACTATCCAATCCTAAGCCATCTCAGCATACCTACCCTACCTTGCCTATTCCTTCTTGGGAAAACTCCAATAAAGGCTCTAGACCATCTCCCCTCCCCATTCTCCCCTTCTGCCTCCTGACCGACCTTTGCGCTTTCCTGCATAGCCTGCATGACATGTCACAGCTGTTGCTAGGGATCTGTGAAACTAAAAAGCTTTCTTCAGGATAGCGTTTTCCATGCCTCCCTGATTAACACAAATGTGGGTACATCTTAACACACATACGCATCACTTTGTATTTTGCTTCTTTTTTATTAACCTAATGCGAGTATTCAGGACGTTATTCATTCATGCATCAGACATTCATTGAGCATTAACTGTGTGTCCAGCAATATGGCAAGCACTGCAGCCACAGCGGTGCACAAGATAATCCTCTCTGCCGTCCTGCCTTTCCGCTGTAGTTAAATCTGTGGATGCCATGGTCTTAGTTCCTTCACTCAGTTGCAGTAAATGTGTGTGGCCTGGATACAGCCTGAAGAAACAATACTGCTCTTATCCATAGAACTACTTTATTCTTTAATACGTCTTTAGTTTTGTGTTGCATGCATACGTTATAATTAACTTACTAGTCTTCTCCTGATGTACATTTAAGCTGTTTCAAGTATTTTTGTTATTATGAATGATGCTTCAGTGAGTGTCTTTATGTAAAAATCGCTGGCACTTGTCTGAAAATACTGGGAGAAAAAAAGTTCCTATAAATGCAGTCGCAGATTGACAGCCGCTGAATGAAGAGTAGGAGATGCGTTACACAGACTGCGAAGCTGCCATGGTTACTGCTGAAGAAAGTGGAAGGGAGGACATAGGGTGGTGGAGAAAGATAAATGAGGATTTGGACTTTTTACTTTCATACCTTTTGTACTGTTGACATTTTTACCAGAAGTATCTATTCCTTTGTAGTAAACAAAGAGCACAGGCTTTGGATTCCCACAGACCTGTGTTCTAGGCCAGACTTGACTGCTTACCTGCCATGTGATCATAGGCCACTTATGTAAGTTTTCAGTTTCAGTTTCTATATCTATTACCTAGCTCATGGTGTTGTCCTATCACCAAAGGCTGGCTGATCAGCTGTTTATTTCCATGTACCAAACCACCCCCAAAACCTAGTGGCTGAAGGGAACATCCCTTATATTCTGTCCTGCGGCTCTGAGGGTGACTACAAGAAGCAGGGTGATGTCTCTGCTGCTTGTGGTGCCGGTGTGAGCTGTAGTTAGCCAGGGGCTTCCTGGACCGGGATGCCCAAAATACTTTACTCCCTTGGCTCATACCTGAGCAGGAGACGGCCAGAAAATTGCACTTAGTGAGACTCTGGGGCAGCTAAGCCTCAGGTTCTCATTCGCTCCTCCTGTAGTCTCTCTAGCCGACTGTCCACCCTTCTCACACGGTCGCTCAGGGATCGCAGAGATGCAAGTGCACCTGTGTAAAAAGTCTCTGTCTTTGAGCTGACACAGCTTTTCTTCCACCACATTCTGTTGAATGAAGTAGGTCACAAGCCAGCCTAGATCCTGCATAGGAAGACTACACGGGGGGGTGAAAACTGGAAGGTATATAAACATTGCGGGACCTTTTGAAGATTCTTGGGAAATTTTCATTTCCTACCATTTTGAGTTTTTAGATCCCAGTGAGGGCTCAAAAGGCTTTTACTTATTTATTTTTATTCTCTATGACTCATAGGTGCAGTGAGTGTCAAAAACCATTAGGATGATGGTTCTTGATTATTTACCCTAATCTTCCATTAAACCCCTTATATGGGCATGTGGCATTTAAGTAATTGACTTGCTCTTCCAGCAGGAGATGAAACCAGGACTGTGACTGGTGAATTAGCTCCAAAGCAGATTTCTGCAGAAAGGAATTCATTGAGTGTTTTCCAGGATGCAAGGTATGGAGAAACTTTTCAATATGAAGGTAAATCAGAACAGCAAAAGGTCAACCCCACGGGAGTAAAATGACACAAATGTAAGGAGTGTGGAAAGGCCTTTGCTCAGAGCTCAGGGCTTGTTCATCACTGGAGAATCCACACTGGAGAGAAACCTTATCACTGTAATCAATGTGGGAAAGCTGTCAGTTATAAATCAGCCCTTCTTTCACACCAGGAAATTCATAATAAAATAAAATGCTATCAATGTAACGAATGTGGGAAAGCCTTCAGTCTAAACACAGGCCTGGTTCTTCATCAGAGAATTCATACTGGGAAGAGACCCTATGGGTGTAAAGAGTGCGGTAAATCCTTTAGTCAAAGCTCCCACCTTATTGGACATCTGAGGATCCACATTAGAGAGAAACCCTTCACATGTGATGAGTGTGGGAGGGCCTTCAGTCAGAGGTCAGGACTCATGGAACATCAGAGAAGCCACACTGGGGAGAAACCCTACACACGTAAGGAATGTGGGAAAGCTTTCCGAGGGAGCACCAGCCTTACTCAGCGTCTGAGGATCCATAATGGGGAGAAGCCCCATCAGTGTGAGGAGTGTGGACGAGCCTTCATTCAGAGTTCAAGCCTTCGTCATCAGAGAATCCACAGAGGGCAGAAGTCTGTGTGTGTACCCTAATTGTAAGAAAGCCTTTAATCATAAATCAGGACTTACTGAACACTTCAGAAAGCTATGATGAATAGACCCTATCTATTGATAGACCCTATCACTGTGTAGTAAATTCAAGAAATCAGGAATGTGGTATATCCATTTCATTATTATTCTAGGCAGTCAAATTGGAATGGATTGTAATGTCATACATCAGATTGAAAGAAGCTGGTAACATCATGGGACCAGACTGCTCACATACTGCTGGTGTCTGCTCTGAAAGTTTCTCTTTCTCTTGGTCTTCCAGTGTCCTTTGCGGTCCGTCTGTACTTCTTCTTGAGGTCACTATCATCACACCCTAAATATCTTGATGATACAGTGGCTTCCATGTTTTGGACAGAGGACCACTGAGACTGTTAGTATGCATGCTTGCAAAGGAGAACTTAGAAGGATGAGTGGGGAATGTGATGTTGTTTTTAAAGTCTTGTAAATGAGGGGTAAGCTAGGGAGTTAGTTGTGGGTTTTTTTAAGTTTTTATTTAAGTAATCTCTACACCGAACGTGGGGCTCAAACTGATGATCCAAAGATCAAGAGTCGCCTTTTCTTCTGACTGAGCCAGCCATGTGCCCCAGGAATTAGGTTTTAAAATGACTATTGGGTGGCTCAGTCAGTTGATCATTCGACTCTTGATTTCAACTCAGGTCATGATCTCGGGATCATAGGATTGAGCCCCACTTGGGCTCTATGCTCACCGCAGAGTCTGCTTGTCCCTCTCCCTCTGCCCCTCCCTCTGTGCATGCTCTCTCTTTCTCTAAAATAAATAAATAAAATCTTTAAAAAGAAATAAAAAATAAAATGACTATAGCTTGCCCTTTTGTCTCTCCTTCCCCCTGTTGGTGAGGGGGTAGTCCACCTCAGTATTCTGAGGATGGCCAAACACAGGACACCTGACGCTGGACAGATGGGCTTGACAGTAGCTTATCAATCACACAGCCCAGGGCCATTTGGGAGCCCAGTGAACAAACAGGGGCTTTGGGATTCAGGCTTTTGTAGAAACAAGAGGATGAGGTGACCCCTGGTTTTCTTGGGAGGATGTCATTGTTTGAATAATTTTCTGTGCAGGCAAGGAGGTGAAACCTCTTAGGTTGAGGATGAGCTGGGGTACAGCTAGTCTAGTTGATGTGGAATAGTCAGGCGGGGAGCACTTCCTGCTGGGTGGGAGGCATATCTAGCGAGAGCAGGAGAACCCATGGTTATGCCTCTGGGTCCCCTCAAGGCTCAAAGATACCAAAGCAGCACATGAAATTTTAGTCCTTGCTGTGCACTTTGTCAACTTCGGGGAAAGGCACAGTTTTTGGCAAAGAGTTATGATGTATATTTGTATCCTTAACTCTGTACTTTATTCATATGTCCTCTTTTTGTACTTTTAAATCTCAGTGATACACATTTCTTCTCTGGGGGAAAAAAATCCCAGAATTTCCTTTGGCCATCCAGTACTCCCGCTGAACTTGACCACATACTGGTAGTGGGATTGAAGAGACATCAGGTACCACAGTCTCTAAGGCTTCTCCTGCATCCTTGTGATTTTCTTATGCTAAAAACCAGTAGATGTTTCAAGCTCAGCTCCCGCACGGTCCACTCTAATCATCTGGATGCTTCTGTCCTCATTATGCATTAGTTTATCTTTTCAACCTTGGAATAAACAGTCTGAGAATCATTGGTGTTGTCTTCTACCTTGAATGAAATATACTTCTCACTATTAAGATGAGAAATTAAAAAGTTTATAAATTAGAAAATATATAAAAATTGGGTATTTCACTATATTCTTATTTTTATGGGGATGGTATGAATAAATACCAACCAAGAAAACTCTGGAGGTGCTAATTGTTCATACCTACTGCCATCAGAGTACTTCTATTGTTTCGCCCTGTTTCAAGGCTTAGGTAGGAAATACTTGGGAGGTTGAAGTTTCCAGGCCAGAAGGAAGTCAATAAATATGACAAAAATAAGAGATAAGTGGATACAACGTTAAATCTCCCTGAAGTTAGACACCTTGAAATTTAAAATATAGGCTTTCACAGAAGACCTGTATATTTGAGGAATTTTCAACCAACTGGAGGAATTCTCCCATGAAATGTGCTGATGCACTGAGCTTTTTGGCAGTCGGAATTATGCCAGAGATGAAAACTGGCAGCCAAAGGTTCAGATACATTTGGCAGACACTTGTGTAGCTCATTGGTTGTTTTTAAGAATTGAATTTGTTGCCAACTTAAAAAATTTAGAGATTTTATGTAAAAATTGGGATTTCCATTTTATTTTGACAAATTAAGATCTGGCATTATTGGGCCAGACCTCATTGGCATCACCCTCCAGCTCATTATGTTACTGAGCCATGGAGATGTGAATTTGCTTCTCTGGAGAATGACTTCAGAAGGCGTTTATGTTTAATAGCAGAGAAAATAGAAACAAGGTGAAGTCAACTTTTACCTTTAAAAAGATTTATTTATTTGAGAGAGCCAGTGTACACGGTGGGGAGGGGCAGAGGGAGAGAATCTTTACGCAGATTCCCCGCTGAGTGTGGATCCCATCGTGGGCTCAGTCTCACCACCAAGAGATCATGACCTGAGCAAAACCAAGACTGAGAGGCTCAACAGACTGAGCCACCTAGGTGCCCCATCTTTGGCCTTTTTGATAGGTTGCTTGCAAAACAATGGGAAACCATAAATTGAGGAAGTTTTAAAAGTAGGATTATTTCTTGATGTAGCTTAAGTGAAAATAATAAGTACATACTGTAAATGTCAATAATTTGACCTTTGCAGCCAAACATTTTCAAAAAGTAGAGAGAACAGCTCTCTGCCTGGTGATTTAACTAGTACAGATTTCTGGAGATGTTACATGTGCAAAGAATGGTCATTGCAGGGGCGCCTGGGCGGCTCAGTCGATGGGCGTCTGTCTTCGGCTCGGGTCATGGTCCCAGGGTCCCGGGATCGAGCCCCGCATCGGGCTCCCTGCTCAGCCGGGAGCCTGCTTCTCCCTCTCCCGCTCCCCCTGCTTGTGTTCCCTCTCTCGCTATCTCTCTCTGTCAAATAAATAAAGTCTTAAAAAAGAAAAGAATGGTCATTGCATACATATATGTCATGCATTTTAAGGGTATATACAAAAAGTAAAATATGGATTCACACGATGTATTATAATCTAATTGGAAAGATAAATGAGCAAAAATCAAGGAACAATTCTGCCAGGAAGAACTGGTACGGTATATAAAGAAAATGGGTATGGGCATTCGTAGGACTTTAAGGATGAATTTTATCAGTAAAGGTACTCCAGAAAAATAGAATATGATTATTTATTTATTTGTTTGTTTGTTTATTTATTTATTTAGGAATTGGCTCAGGCCATTGCGGGGGTTGCTAAGTCTGAAACCTGCTAAGCAGGTTGGCAGGGTGAGAACTCAGGCAGGATTTCCACGTTATAGTTTTGGGGCAAAAGTCCTTCTTGCGGATCTGTTTTTTTCTCTTAAAGCCTTCAGCTGATTGGGTGAGGCCCACCCACCGGTGAGGCCCACCCAGCAATGCGCCCAGTTCACCAATCCCAGCTGTTAGTCCCATCTAACCATGTCCGTTCGCGGCGGCGTCCACCGTTGCCCACGCCCCGGGCGCCACCGCCAAGCCAAGTCGGAGCTTGAAGCCGCCCCGGCGGACGCACAGGTAGAGGCCACGAACGCTGTCTACGCCATGCGCCTGAGCGGCGCTGTCCGCTGGCGTCCCACGAAATGCGTTCCGAGGGCTGTGGCGCGCAGCAGGATCTACCAAAGCGTGTTTCTCCCGGATGTTCGCGTCGAAGTGATGTGGTCCTTGCTTCCGTGCGCGTCGCGGAGAAACGCGGGGGAAGGGGCCGGGCAGAGCCGGGGAGTAATCCACCTGGGTCCGGGGGCCACAGGCCGGGCGCCAGCCTGCCCTCAAGGAGAGACCGGGTGCGCGCGGGGCAGGTGGCGGGGCAGGGCGGGCGGCCGGGCGAGCGGCTCCGAGAACCCGAGGCAGGCGTGGGGACCGCGACGGCGTGGGCCGAGAGCGCAGATCCTAGACAAACCCAAACCTCCAGGTTCTTACACAAAAGGAGCCTCTCGGGGACCCGGTTCCTCGGCGATCGACGGCGTCTAGCTGCGTGCTCGCGTCCGCTCGGCCTGCGGCGCTCAGGCTCTGCTCTCCCGCTCCGGCGAAGACCCAGGGCTCCGCAGTGCATCGCCGACAGAGGACGGACGCTGGAGTCGGGGCGAGGGATGTGGGGCGGCCCTCTGCTCCGCCTGCCCAGCCCCGGCTGCCGGGAGCGCCTCACCCCGCGGACCAGAGCCCCGAGTTCTTGTAGGCGCGGGAGAGGGGCGCGCTGCGTTTCTCCGGCTCCTGGCCGCCCGCAAAGACTTGATTCCGTAGCCTTGGCAACGATTTGTCCCTAAACTGTGCAGCTTGGTTTATCGCTGCCATCATATAAAGTTAACGGGCTTAGCTAAGTTCTTCGCTGCCCGGATTATTCTGTTTACAGTACGTTCTGATGTCCCAGAGCCTTCACCCCAAATCTACCGTGAGTCAAGTGAGTTTTCTCTTGAGCCTTCGCAGCCTGTAACCCTGACTCCTGTCGTCCACACTCCCTAGGAACAGGAAGATTTGCACATAGTGAAACTGGAAGAGAAGTACATGCTTGGGAGCAGTCTAGACTGGGAACGTGCATCTTCTTTGAAAACTCTCGCTAGCATTTCGGGCGCTTCTGCTACCAGGAGGCCCTTGATCACCACGAATTTCTAAGCGTTGCCATCAGTGGATGAAGCCAGACGTGCATACAAAGGAGCAAATCCTGGAACGGCTGGTGATGGACCATCGTCCCCATGCAGGGCAAGCCAGAGGGCTGTAGAGGGGAAGGCATGGGGAAAGGGAGGGGGCTACGTGGGGAGAAGCAGGTGTCCAGGCGGTTACTCATATGTGGACGTGACCTTGAACAGACTTGCTGGACTCCATGGCTATTTTCGAATGCAGCTAGGCCTTATCTTCTGGGAAGGTCTAGTCCTTCACGCCTCAAGGCCAGTGGTCTGCAAATCCCAAGGGAAGTCGGTTATTTCTGCTACAGACTCAGGTCAGCAAGAAGGAGCGCATAAGCTTGACGCAAGTTAACCCCTAAGACGGGTTGGAGTGTGCTTACACCCTGAAGAGTACATCAGCTGAGGACAAGATCTATTCACTGAACTCGAGCTTTTGTTGTCATTTGTTTTTAGTATATTACAGACCACACAAGGATAACCTGTTTTTATTAGATGGGCTCAACAATCAAATCATTTTCCCTCTTCCATCCAGGATGTTCCTGGAAGGCAAGCATTCTTGTCTCAAATGCTGGATTCTACTTATTTTCTAATATTTCAGACAACGGACGGAAATAGAAGTGTACGTCAATGAAAATGACTTCCTATTTTCAACGGCATAGTGTGCTCTTCCAACCTGTTCTGTGTGTTCCGGGAGGCGCCGGAAGTGACGTAGGGGGCGTGGCCTCCAGGAGCCGCCGGCCGCTTCCGGGAGTCGGGCTCCGGCCCGGCGCGCTGCGGAGGGCGAGGCGACCGGGAGGCAGGACGTGTCCCTCGCGCTGCGGTGCTGGGTTCGGCCTCGGAGCCCAGCGGCGGGGGCTCCGACGAGCTGGGAGGCGAGGGGGCCCCGGCGTGAAGGCCCCGCGGAGGCCCGGCCTCAGGGCCGCCTACGCAGGACCCTGCCCGGCTGCCGGGCCTCTCCGGGGACCCAGCCCGGGCCGCGGGCGCCGTGGGAGCCGGAGTGCGACTTCGCCCTCCGTTCCGCCAAATTCGCATGAGAAAAGGGCACGGTTTTTCTGACGGGGATTCCTGACTGCTTCTCTCCCGGCAGTGGCGGCGGAAGTACTCGAGTCCGGAAAACCCGGCGCCCACAGATAAGTCTTGGAAGTTTTGCTCTGGGCTGGGACCTCATTGGTGTAATTACTGTCGGATTTGCAGGCTTCTCGCGCGCAGCTGGTTTCCTCGTTGCACCTGCCCCCACCTGCCAAAACGTAGCGCCGTCTGACCTCGCGTATGCTGTTCATACTTGTATCTGCTGACCGCCCCAAGTGCAGCCGACCTCCAGGATGGCAGGGGGCTTTGCTTTGGGCTCGAATGTATTTCAAGAACGTAGAACACTTTCTGCACAAGGGAGGCCTCTATTAATAAATACTTGTGGATTTAATGAATGAATAAAATTAGTTACTCCGGTTACAGGTCCTCCTTTGTGGGTTCTTCACAGCTTTGCCATTTATCTCCTTAAATTCTGTTCGCTAGAATGCCCTCAGAAGTCTCCAGTTTACACTCCAGCAGAAGCCAGGCAGGATGGCTGTGGACACAAGAAAGTCTGCTGGCCAGTTGTTCGAAGCCGGATGGGTCAGCAGGGGCCTGAGATGGTGAAGGTGGAGTTGGAGGAGGACCACCCCAGGGATCAGGCTCTCAGCTTTCCGGAGGACCAGCCCCCCTGCTTGGGAGATTTTCAGGCAACAGTTCAAACACTTCTGCTACCAGGGTTCCCTTGGACCCGGTCTGGCCCTGAGCCGGCTCCGGGAGTTCTGCTGTCAGTGGCTCAGGCCCGAGACCCACAGCAAGGAACAGATCGTGGAGCTGCTGGTGCTGGAGCAGTTCCTGACCATCCTGCCCGAGGAGCTGCAGGCCTGGGTGCGGGAGCAGCATCCAGAGAGCAGAGAGCAGACAGTGACCATGCTGGAGGATCTGGAAGGAAAGAAATGTACAAGTAGGAAGACACTGGTCTGATACGGTTGTGGAAAGCTTGGAACAAAACTTTCTCAGTTGTGGAACTCAGAGAACAATGGGAAAACCCAGCATTCAGCAGGGAACTGAGCTTCTTGCTAAGCCAGCCCAGTAAAGAGGGAAAGTGGGGAACAGCAGATTCTGGGATGGTGAGCAAGGATACTGAAGGCATTCTGTATTTCAGATAGAATGAGGAGCATCATGCTCCTTACTTTACAGGTCACTCAGCTCACAGCAACAAAGAAGTAGGTGAAATCATTCCCAATTTGCACACATGGAAAACTAAGTTCAGAGAGGTTGGGTAACTTGGCCAAGACCACACGGCCAACAGTGAAATGACAGAAACAAGACCTGATCAAATTTTGCTTTCTGGCCGCTTCTCAGTGCCCCAGAAGGTAAATAAGGCCCTGGTTTCTCACATTTTTTTCCTAGTCTCTTGGAGAATATTTCTTGTGGACTCCTCCAGAGGTTCAATCTCTGTTAAATTCTTGATATCCTTAAAGCTTAATGATTTGCTTGTCTCTAGGTGTAAGCCCATGCTCTGGAACAGGAAATCCTTTTGTAGACAGTGACCCTTCAGACACTAGATGAAGGATCTTCATACACATGGGTTCAGCCCCCAGTGATCCAGTTCAAGGGCAAAGGACCTGAGCCCCAACCATCAGAGGAAGGAGGTGAGGCAAGAATTTCTCTAGGGAATTTGGACTGAAATGACCTCTTGAGTTGAAATTTTTTTGGCATGTGACACTAATTCCTTTTGACAAGGGTTATTGAAGAACATGACAAAGGTGACATTTAGGGTAATAATGATTAAAAGGTAATAAGTCCTTTCAGAGCAGCCTCAGTAGTATGGTCGGTTTTAAATATCTGTATTTGAAATTTCTACATATGGTTTAGTAGCAAATGTTATTTCAAGTATTTTGATGCTTACATCCTTCAGTAGATACAGATAGGATATTAACACTGTAAAACTGTACTGACTTTTCTGAAAGTTACCCTTTATTATTACCAGAGAAGTATATATGCATTGTACAAAGTTAGAAAATACATAAAAGCAACATAAGAAAATAAAGCACGATGTTCTGTCACTCAGAGATTGTAATTGATGGCTTTTTATTCTATATCTGTATCTTTTTATGTGCATAGGTATTTATGTGCATATATGTGTACACATGTGCATACACACTACCTTTTACCAAAAGAAGATCATACTCTCTGCTATTTTATAACCAGATATTTTGTTAATGATCTTTCCTCAGTCAGTACATTTTCATGTTATCTAAATTCAATCCAAATTCAGATAGTCTCATTTTTTCTTAAATGTATTTTTTAAAGATTTTATTTATTTATTTGAGAGCACCATGGGCAGGGGTGGAGATGGAGAGCACCAGTGGGGAGACGGGGGAGATGGAGAAGCAGACTCCCTGCTGAGCGTGGAGTGGATCAAGGATCCTAGGACCCTGAGATCATGACCTGAGCCGAAGGTCACTGACTGAGCCACCCAGGCGCCCCTCCAAAATGTATCTAAAGCTGATTTGTCCAACTCAGGTTAGAACCCAGGGGAGCATGATGTATCTGGTCATTATGCCTCTTAATTCTTTTCTACTTTAGAACAGTTCCCCTATCCTACTTTTTTCCCATAGCCCAGACTTCCAGATGAGCGGAGGCCAGTTTCCCACCCTCTGGAGTTTTCTGATTGCTTCCTCATTGTATCACTTACTGTGCTGCCCACGTACCTTGTATTTCCTATAAACTGGAAATTAGATCTCAAGGCTTAAAGGATTCGAGTTAAACATTTTTGCTAGAATTAATATTAGATAAGAGGAGATATTAATACCTGGGTGGCCCACTATTAAATCTCTGGCTTGGCATGACAGTGTGATCCCTTCATTGTTTTCCCTTGTAGCTAACGATGTGGTGTCACTTTGGCACTATGTGAATGGTTTCCCATCAACAAATGAGAAATGTTTGATAATCCTTGTATGGGTCAACCATTTTATTAAGGGTTACAGGATGACTTTATAATTCTTTACTCCTTCTATTTTATTAACTGGCATTCTTCATCCTGAAGCTTTCCTTCATCACATCTATTTGGTCACTTCCTTCTAAGCGGTCATGCATGATTGATGCTTTGTTTTTCCCCCTTTATTTACCAATGTTCAAATTCAAGAAGTGGGTTATTAGTCATCTTAAATGGCGACTTGAGATTTTAGGACGTTTTCTGTGTTGGTATCATTATGAACTTAGGAATTTATTTTTTTAAAGCTTTAATTTATTTGAGAGAGAGAGCACGGGAGGGGAGGATAGAGGGGAAGCAGACTCGCTGATGAGCAGGGAGCCCGACATGGGGCTCGATCCAGGACCCTGGGGTCATGACCTGAGCCGCAGGCAGCCGCTTCACCGACTGAGCCCCCCAGGCGCCTCTGGACGTAGGAATTTTTACTGAGTCGGTGTGTTTCAGCCCCCTCATTAAAAATCCATGCCTTATTCCACACATCTTCGGCTTGTGTGGATGTCTTCAGTCTTGCTCCTATCTCTGTTTTGCCATGGCTCTATTAATTTTGACTGCTTGCTTTTGCTTTTTGAACAAAATAACTTGTTTTAGGCTCACCTTGTACCTTCCCTGTACCCAGATCTGGTATCACCCATTTCTGAACGAGCCTTGGTTCTTGTTAATAGAGAATGCTATTGGAGAATAAAGTCTGGGTGTTAGGGGTGTTCTTTATCACATAGGTAACCCTGCTTCTAGGACATTTCGTGGGCAGAGCTAGGTAGACATTTTTTCCTAACAAACATGAATGTGTATTGATGTATTCATTCTGCTTTACCATTACGTTCCATCACTGTTCTGTATTGCATTTGGTTTCTTCATTTTTTTAAAATTCCATTCTTGTGTTCTCCTTTGGTTTGTTTATTCACTCAGTCACTTATTTACTTATGGTTTTAACAGTTTGTATAAAGGGGATCCCAGGAAGCACAAAGAGAGCAGGAACTGACACACTAAAGGGAGAAAAGCCAATAAAGTGCATAAATGAGCAGGCTCTCTTGGTTTTGTTTTTTTGTGGTATTTTTTGTTTTGTTTTAAGTAGGCTCCACGCCCAGTATGGAGCCCAATGCTGGGCTTGAACTCATGACCCTGAGATCAAAACCTGAGCTGAGATCGAGAGTCAGACACTTAACCAACTGAGTCACCCAGGCGCCCCATTTTCCTAACTTTTGAGCTGGGTTGATTTACGTATTTTCATTCTCCTGTTTACTAATATAAGTATTTGATGCTATGAATATTTCATTGAACACTGGTTTAGATGAATTCCAAATGTTCTGAAATGTGTTTTCATTATTATTTTCCAGAAAATCTGAAAGTTTGCCTTTGAACTAGCAATTGTTGGAGTTTAAAATTTACAGATGAAAGAGCTTGTTTTCTGATTTTGTTTTTAATTTATTGTGATCAGAGAGTGTTTGTGTTATTATTCCTATCTTATAGAATTTACTGTGGTTTTCTTATGACCCAATAGGTAGCTTTCATTAATGTTCACTGCACATCTGAAAAGTTGTTTTATTTTCAGGGTCAGACCTTGACATACATATGTATCTATAAGATTGAATTTATTGATTTCATTTTGTAAATCTTTTTTTATCTATATTTTTCTGGTCCATTTGGTGTTTTTCAGACATAGAAAGGACAGTTAAAGTCTATTCTTTGTTTTGTCTGTTTCTTTTTATATCACCTATAGTTTCTGCTTCAGGAAAGTTGTCACTGTGTTGTTTTCTGCATAATTATTCATATTTGTTACATCTGCATTGCACATTGTGTTCTTTATTTTAGCATTTTTAAGTAGTCTTCTTTGTCTCATTTCATGCTTTTGGCTTGAATCCCCCCTTTCTCTGAAATTGAAATCTTGATGCCTTCTTTCCTTTTATTTGCATTTGCTTAACATAGCCTTATCCATCCTTTATTCATAACTTTTCTCAATCAGTATGTTGTATATATGTCTCCTGTATGTATAATATTGGTCTCTGATCAAATCTGATGTTTTTTTAATGAGTTAAGCCATTTGCATTTATTGATATGGCTGTTAGGACAAGTACATTTGATGTTAACATAATTTTCTTATGTTTTTTGATGTACATGTCATCTATACACATATAAATATATAAATACAAGTACAAACATGCATACGTGCATAGCTGCGTATACGTACACACACATATATGATTTTCAATGTATGGTTTGTTTTCCCTCTTTTTTTAAAGATTTTTTTTATTTAGAGAGTGGGGGGAGGGACAGAGGGAGAGAGAGAATCTCAAGCAGACTCCCTGCTGAGCATGGAGCCCGACAGGGGACTGATTCCAAAACCCTGAGCCAAAGTGAAGAGTTGGATGCCTAACTGACTGAGCTACCCGGGCACCATACTTTTTTTCTATTTTTTTTTAAGATTTTAATTTTGGGACAGTTGGGTGGCTCTCAGTTAAGCGTCTGCCTTCGGCTCAGGTCATGATCCCAGGGTCCTGGGAGCGAGCCCCGCATCGGGCTCCCTGCTCGGCAGAGTCCATGTCTCTCTCTTTCCCTCTGTCCCTATCCCCACTTATGCTCTCTCTCTCTGTCACTTGCTCACTTTCTCAAATAAATAAAATCTTTACAAATAAATAAAGATTTTAATTTTAAGCAATCTCTACATCCAACATGGGGTTGAAACTCACAACCCTGAGGTCAAGTGTTGCATGTTCTTCCAACTGAGCCAGCCAGGCATCTCTCTCCTTTTTTTTTAAGTGTAGTAGTTCCTATACTAAGGAAGCTTTGTAGTTCATATCACTGGTATATTAGTTCTCAACTGCTGCTTAACAAATTACCACAAAGTTAGTGGCTTCAAACTACACATATGCTTTATCTCACAGTTTCTGTAGATGGAGAGTCTGAGTTGGCTCAGCCAGGCTCTGTGCTTCTGGGTCTTTTACAAGGTTGCAGTCAAGGTCCCAGGGCTGATGTCTCATCTGAGTTGTGATTAGGGAAGGATCCACTTCCAACCTCACATAGCTGTTGGCAGGACTCACTTCTCCGTCAGACAGAGGGTCTCAGTCCCTTGCTGGCTGCTAGCCAGAGGCCCCCCTTAGTTCCTTGCCCCATGGGCTTCTCCATATGGTGGCTTTCTTCATCGAAGTCGGCAAGCCAGCAAGGACGAGTGTCAATAGAGAGTCCACTAGCAAGTTGGAAGGTACAGTCTTATGTAATCACAGAAGTGACAGCCTGTCAACTTTGCCACACTCTGCTGGTAACTCAGCCATGCTTTTTTCTTTCTCACTTCCACACTGTATTACTACCATTCCTCCCACCTTGACTAACCTCTTTCTCTGAACCTCTAACACTAAGAGAGGAAACAATATCATCTGTTAACATCAACCTAAAATAAAGATTAACCTTTCCAGCTGTCTGTCTCTTAAATTATTTTTGAGTTATCTTTGCTCCTCAAGTTGTGTGGTCTGCGTTCAGATGGTGGTGTGAGGACTGACAACATGACAGGCATGAAGCGGGAACTTTGTGAAGAAGCAGAACCATGTGGGAAGGGGTCTGATGAACGTGATGGAACTCTGTCTCAGCATGCCTAATGCACAGGAGACAGCCTAATGGAAGTTTGGAAACGCAGGATGGCGGTGCCACAGGTAAGAAAATAAATACATGTGAAGAATGTAGGAAAACCTTCACCTGGATAAGAGGCCTTCACATGCATAGGAGGATCCACACTGGGGAGAAACCATACTCATACGGAATGTGGAAGGGCCTTCATCAGACATGCAGAACTTAGCCAGCACCAGGGGCTTCGAAGCATGGAAAGGCTTATCACTGTAAAGAGTGTGGCAAAGGTTTCAGTCAGAAAGCAGGCCTCTTCCAACATCTCAAAATCCACACTAGAGAAAAGCCATATCGGTAGAGTATATGTGGCTGGTGTTCCCATCAGAGATCAGTTCTTAGAAAGCATCAAAGTCTCCACACTACAGAGAGACCTTTTGAATGTGCAGACTGTGGTAAAGCCTTCTGCCACAGTTCAGACCTCACTGAACATCAGCGATTCCACAGCAAAGAGAAACCTTACA